CGGCCGCAAGGCGCAAGCCCGCTGCCCGCAGCAGGGCCTGCAGACGTGCAGGCCCTGCTGCGGGGGTTTTTTTTTTTAAAAAAAAATTTGCCCGCAGTAGCCGGCACGTGCGCCTTGCTGCGGGGTTTTTTTTTTTTTAAAAAAATTTGCTGCAGCAGGCTCGCAGACGTGCGCCCCGCTGCGGGGGGATTTTTTTTTTTTTTTTTAAAAATTTTGCCCGTTGCCAGGGGTTGCCTTGGCAACGGGCCGCATCAGCAACAGCATGGCCTGCACCTGCAGGCTGTGCTGCAGTTTTTTTTTTTTTTTTGGAACCGAGCCCGGAACCGGCGGTTCCGGGCCGGTTCAAAAATTTCTGGAATCGGAACCGGGCCCGTAGGGCACAGGCCGGTTCCGGTTCCAAACCGCGGGCCCGGTCAACGGGGCGGGTTTGGTTTGACCGGGCCGGTTCCGGTCCGGTTCCGGGCCGAAACCGGCCCGTGGCCATGACTACTAAAAACCTCTATATGAGGTGAAAACAATTATTCTAATTTTTTTTAGGAATAAATATCAAGAAATCTAGTCCCTTTTTAATAAAAACTCTATGCCTAAACGATCTAAGTCGGTTTTAATTGAAAATATGTGAAAACGAACTTTGTCAAGAAAATTTAGATGTCACACAACCCAAAATTTTCTGACGCGGTCGGGGGAAAAGGTAGGGTTTAGAGGTATTACCCAAAGGTGGGTCAACGACCCTCAATCAGGCATAGGCTCTCCCAAACCCATACCTCGCCGACGTTGAATTCATTTTCAATTATGATTTAGCCTAAGGGATTCTAGGAGTCGCCACTAGCCTTTCGAAGTTGGCTAGAAACCAAACAAGACACAGGAATTTTTTCTTGTTTTCCACGCAACCAAAGAATAACTAGGTTCGAGGATTTGATTACATTAATCATTTAATTAGCACCCTTTCGGTACCTATAACTTAGTGGGATTGTTCATCTAAGCGATCAAACAACTTTTTATTTATTATGAGACCTAAAGGTCTTTGAGTCACTACGTGCTCATGCCATTGTTTTTTAAGGGTTTATTATGACCTACCATTCTAAAAAAGAAACAAACAATGTATTGAAATTGCAAGAATTAAACACCAAATTATTGAAGCTTAAAGTAAAGTGCAGAAATGAAAACCTGATGTTTGTTGAGCAAAAAATATTACATTGACTTTTTATAAGCCTCGGGACATGAACTCCCATAAGCTTGACCCGATACTAAGTTGGGCAAAAATATTGCATGACCTTGTTATAAACCTTGGGACATGAACCCCCCATAGGCTTGAGGTTAGAGGCTACTCTTAATCCTATATTAAGGTGAACCTAAAATTCTACTCAATTTATTAAAGGCGATGATGCTAACCTAAACTGAACTAATCATTTATTAAAGAATGATCTTAAGTCCAAATTGCTTTTTATTTCCTAGCTAGGCTATATCAACTAGAAGCCTAAATTATATTGATTATTAATTTCTAAGTTTATTGGCTAGACCATCCTAATCAATTCTAAGCTAATAAGGCTAAAACTATCTACCGCCGCTCCCAAGTTCTCAGCCACCGGCCGCTGGTTCCCAATGTCGGTCTATTCAAACCTTCAACCATTCAATTAGTCAATTGAAGAAATTAGCAAGTTCACCCAGTCAATCATCAATCATGAATTTTGGATTCGGTTCGGTAATTTGATGTTAATCATGCAATTTGATTACCCATCCACCTCGTAAAGCTAGGGGTTGATTAATTAATGCTAAGTGATAATTAACCCCGACTTGCATTTCAAAAAGTGGGTAGGCTAAGTCTCTAGCACCAAATTAAGCTCTAATTCCCATTCCTAAGCTACTTGCCACCAAATCATGCATTGCTAATTGAAATTAAAGTCAATCAATCATCAATTCAATCATGGGCAAGGTCAATCAAGTATGCAATTAGGCTACTAAGCCTTAGAAAACAAGAAATCAATTTGTCTCTCAAAAGGGTAACTCTACTGTTTTTCCCTATATTCTGACCCATTAAGTTTTAATCCAATCGTGGGCCTTAATGAACTCCTTTTTTAGAAATTTTAGTGGCCAATTAAAGTTTAGGATGCCCGCTTCAACTTTAATTTAGACCACTTTCCATAATTATGGCCCACTTAATATCAATTAATTAAATCAAACCCAACCATCCAAGATCCACCCATGTTTTGACCCAACTCTAGTAAATTTCGGGAAAAATATCAAATGGGCTCAAAATGGCCCAATCGATAACAAAAGTAACAAGTTGACTTGATAATACTGAAGATATACTATATTTCTTTTCAGGAAAAATTCCAAATAAGGACCTGAAGTGTTTTTATTTTCTCAAATAAAGGCTTGAAGTGGACATTGTGCCAAATAGGGGCCTGAAGTGATTACAACAATTTCAAATAAAGGTCTCACCTCGCCGGCTCACTGGCAAGCCAAACTTTTTGGATGGTCGAGGGCATTTTCGTCCGAAAATATTTTAACACAAATTTTAGTTTAATTAGATTAAAAATTGAAAAAAAAAGAAAAAAAAAACAATGGAGAGGGCTGGCTGAAGAACTAAAATTAGGGACTCATATCCAAGCTAAGATCACCACTTGAATACTCCTTTTTTAGGGTTTTGTTTATGTAAAACAATATAATAGTTAATGGGGAAATTTGCTTGCTGATGAAAATAGGGCAGTAATTATAGATCTTTGATGCATGATGATGATAATTGTCCTTAAGGTACGTATTATTTTCCCCCATTATTGTTATCACCTGGTTTATAATAAATATACCTTTAGGATATAAACCAAAGTCACAGAGAAATGAGTATAACAATTACTTAATTTCTCTTTTGAAAATTCACCTTGAATATGTTATCAAACTTATGTGTGAAAAGAGAAGAAGAGAGAAGGTTGTGAAGAAGAAAGAGTTATTATGTTATGAATAATCGTGATGAACAATGTATGATTTGGTCCAATTTACATATAACCAATCAACACATTTTCTAGGAATAAATACCTTATCCCCATCATCACCATTTTTCAGGATCAACCATCAACACTTTTCATGATCAACCATTACTTCTCTTCATGTCAACAATCACTTCTTTTCATATCCAACAGTCATCCTTTTTCATGTCAAACAATCGCTTTTTTTCATGTAACAAACTATTCTACCAATAGTTACGACTCTTATCGAAAGCAATGAGCTAGCTGAAAGCATGGGAACTAGGGGTGATCGGTTTAGGATGGGTCAATTCCGAGAGTAGAATCTAGAACCTACTCGATAGGTACTGCACATCGAAAAATTGGCATGGAGGACCGAATCAGCTATACTTAGAACTTATTTGGGAATCAAATCGGGCAATTTATGGTTCTACAACCAGGTTGGTTTTGTAAAAATATCATAATTGACATTATATATTATTTTCTTAACTTATGACTAGTAAAGTCCCATTATTGAGTGGTTTTGTGTGGCTACTTCAAGCAGAAGGTCGTGGGTTCCATTCTTCCTAGTTAGATCTCATTACTATTTTTTAATATAAGCTGTAAAAGACCGGTTCTAAATCGGTTCGACCTTAGAACTGACCCAGTTAAAGGCCAATTCTAGGGTTTGAAACTAAAAGCAAGACCAGTTCTTTCCGAAAGAAACCGGTTGGGTAAGGCCGGTTCAACCTAGGATCAGATTGAACCGGCCCAGTTGCTCACACCTATGGGACCCTATTTGTTTGTATTTTTTCAGTTCTAAGGTTCGAAACTGAGAAGAGGACCAATTCTTCCCTAAACCAGCCTAGAACTGGTTGGTTAAGGCTAGATCAATTCAATTACCAAGTCGACTTGCTCACCCTAGTGCGAACCTATCTGTCTATACATTTTTAAAAACAAAAAGCAACCTTTTGTTTTGCCAAAGTTGATAATCTTATCCAAATTTCAAGATATTATGTGTACAATTTAGGCGTCAAGATTTATATAGTGTGAGCGTTTCAGGTGTTTTGGGTTAAGAAAAAGTCGAAATATGGCCACCGCAAGATTTAGAACTAAGCAAAAAAAATGAGATAAAAATCTATCCGAACACACAACTATGGTGTTACTTGAGTGTTGTGCAACACACAGAGCTACGCCGTAGGAGTATGGGTGCGACACTGAATGCAAGAGAAAGAGACTTATTCCTTAATTCATACGTAGAATTCAAAGGTAGTGACCCACCCTAAAACGTCACCAATTAAATTCTCTTTTCGGAAATAAGTTACATGTGAAGCTACCGTAGAGAGGGTCCGCCTATTGATGCCTCTCCCTGGCCATCCAAAATGCCTTACATATTACTTAGAGTGTAACTCACGCATAAAGCCATATGTTCTCATGGACATTCGGAAATGAGTTGCAACGTATAAATCACATCGCGGCGCTTTCTATAATGCAGCCAATATTATGCTACAAGATGGGGTCGCTTCCAGTTCAAACCATCATCTTTTTCCATGACAAAATCCAAACTCTAAACTTTAACATATTGACTGATGAAATCATCACGCTCAAAAAGCTTCTTTGAACACGCTCGCACCTACCGCTGATGTGTATTCCAAGTTGGTTTGCTTAATGTGACTAGTGATAAACGCCATTGCAGAAGAAGCAAGAAATGCTGTTCAAAGGAACCACAGTGACTTACCAGTCGGTGGTCACCATCATCATCGATTTGAAGTAAAAGGTTGCGGTCAGAACTTGAGTCGCAAGCTTCCTCGAAAGGTTTTCTAACTTGTGCGCTTGACTCAGTCATCATTCCCTCTCATTTCCATTTTCTGTCGCTCAGTCCCACACCCCAGCTGGTTCCTGCCCCGCCAAGCAACCTCTAGCTCTTGACTCTTCCACCTTTGCCAAAGAAGTTGGTTACCATGAAAATCCTCTCCTAACTATAAACAATATACCCCTTTCACCTAATTTTATGTACAGTGTACTGTCGACCCACATCAATATAAACCCTCAAACTCCCTCCAACACAATATACTCAGAGCTCGAACCAAAAACCTTTTCTCCTCTCTAACTGAAGCAACAATCACCAAATTCTCTACACCAGAATTTCTTCTGTTGTTCTTTATTTCGGCGCCTTTGTTTCTTGAGAAACTAGTAAGAAATCATCATTTTCCTAAGATGAAGCATCAACTGCTACTTTCATTTTCCTGCGTTGCGATAATATTCCTCCTCCATCTCGCCCCCATCACCGGCCAAGCTCCGGCGGGGGCTCCATCTGCTTCCACCAGCCCGACCAACGTCACTGCAATCCTCGAGAAGGCGGGTCAGTTCACCATCTTCATTAGGCTGCTCAAGAGCACGCTGGTAGGCGACCAACTCAGCTCTCAGTTGAGCGATCAGAAGTCGAACCAGGGCTTCACTATATTTGCACCGACCGACAATGCCTTCGCTAGTCTCAAATCGGGCACGCTGAACATGCTCTCCGATCAAGAGAAGATCCAACTGGTGCAATTCCACATCATCCCTTCCGTCATCTCGCTCTCGCAGTTCCAGACCATCAGCAACCCACTACGGACCCAAGCCGGCAACAGTGACAACGGCCAGTTTCCACTCAATATTACCACATCGGGGAATCAAGTAAATGTAACGACAGGGGTTGTGGCCGCAAGAGTCGACAACACAATATCTAGTAAGGGCAACTTGGCGATTTATCAGGTCGATCAGGTGCTGCTTCCGTTGGCCATGTTCGGGTCACCAGCACCAGCTCCAGCACCGGAGACACCCAAGAAGGAAGTGCCGGTTCCATCGCGTGCCCCATCTGGATCAGACAATGCCTCTGTCGATTCCTCCAATGCAGTTGCCAATAGTTTTAACTCAAGGACATTGGCTTCGCATGTTGTTGCCGCTACTTTGGGTGGAGTGCTTCTGTTTTAAAACCAAATTTTTGTACGATACATGAGGATGGTCAGTCCTATGATTTTGTTTTCTTTGGCATCATCCGTCTCAATGTCTTTTACACTGAGCTATGTCATTCATTGAGTTTATTCCTAATGCAAAATCATGCTTTCCTAAAGAACCATTTTCCTACTCATTCCAGGGACATGAAACAACATGAACATAATTGCGTAACAAGGGCAACCAGATGCATTGTCCGAGCATTTACGATCAAAATCCCACATGCACGGTATTAGTTAAAGTTCAATGTGTTTTGCCAAAGCAACAAAGAAAGTCGAGAACAGAGAAGATTCGATTGATTTGATCTACATCCACGGACTCAGTGCTCTCTCCGCGATAATTGACGTAAACCAGAACCATTGAAAGTGATTCACCGTGACCGATGCGAATCGACGACTCTTCGATACCTGTAACATTCTTTCGCGATCGCTGGTTTGGATCAGATTCAAAAACTTCTCATCTGGGCCTGTCACTTTCATGCATGATCTGGATTTCTTTAGGATTTTGATGTGATGAACTTTGCACGAGTCTGGCTCTTCTGGATCCAGGGCTCAATCCAAGCCCTAGAGTCCCGTCATCAGGACTTGGAGCTTTTCAAAGTAAAGCCTAAGCCCAAGGTAGTCCCCTAACCGATCTTGTCTAGACCTTTGTATCTGAGTGCAAACTCAACATTCCTTCCAACCTCAAACTTTGCCCATATTAATTATTAACTTCATATTTCTTATACTATAGACAAAAAGGTCATTTAAAAGTGTTTTCATTGCAATCACTTAACCATAAAAATCAAATTCCAAATATAATTCTTCAACCTGACCGACAATGTCATTATTTCCTGAAATAGGATAAATAACATTTCATTTTTAATTGATTCCCTATACATTCTTGCCCCCAAATGTGTTTATGCCTTTTGAGCTAGTTCATATCAAATATCACCTAAGAGATGATTTCATCGTGGTACTTTTCATGAAAAGCCCATGTTAAATTGTAATAGTGTAATATTAGAGAAGGGACAAACATCGTAATTCATAAGTAATCTAAATTTCCAACAATTCAAATTATGATTCCTTAGATCCCCAAAAATTTCCAAACTTAAATTTAAATCTTGCTTATCTTTGGTACGTTAAAATTTTCTCATTTCATAAGAATTTAACTATACTCAAAAAATAGACCCATTCTTTAAAAACTTATTTCTTTTCTAACTATTTCTATTTTCTTTTATTTTCACATGCCTAGCTTGTGCTCTTTTGCCGGAAAATTGACCAAAAAGTCCTAAATCTATTGCACTTTTGCTAATTGAGTCCTAAACCTTTCAATTTTGCCAATTGAGTCCTAAACATTTTGCCAATTTACCAATTGAGTCTATCCGGCCAATTTTTGTCAGAATTTGCTGATGTGGACACTAACTGTCTTATATGGCATAGCTGGCGCTGACGTAAATAGCTTTTAATAATTTTTTTATTTTTTTTCCTCTCTTCTTCCTTTTGCCGGTAACCAGCCACTAGCCATGGCCTGGCGGGCTGGCCTTGCTTGGGAGAGGGTCGCCGTCACCGGCCACAGGCGAGGCCCGGCAGAGCGAGAGAGAGCCTCGTCAAGGGCTCCCCTAGCTAGATTTGGCCTGGGAAAAGCCAAGTCTCGCATGGCTGAGGGTGAACCCTGGTGAGGCAAGGCCGACCTCGCCTAGGCTAGGGCGACTTCACCCTTGCCTGGCCAAGCCTCGCTTGTGGTAGCGACAGCAACCCTCGCCTAGGCGAGGCCGGCTCGCTCGGCCATCACTTATGGCCGGCGGTTGATCACCGGCAAAAGAAGGACGAAGAAAGGAAAAAAAGAAAAGAAAAATAAAATATTATTAAAATATTATTAAAAATTGTCCGTATCAACATTGGCCGTATCTTGCAGGACGATCAACATTCATGTTAGCAAATTTCAGCCAAAATTAGCCGGATAGACTCAATTGGCAAAATGCGAAAAGTTTATAACTCAATTGACAAAATCGAAAGATTTAGGATTAAATTGGCAAAAGTGTAATAGATTTAGGACTTTTTGGACAATTTTCTCCTATTTTGCTAGCATAAACATATCTTCTTCAAATTTTGATATTTCTCGAGACCGATTCTTTTTTTCTTTGGTACTCTTTTAATTTTATTTTTCTTTATTAAAAGGACTCATAACTCAGGTTAAGTAACTCTGGAATAGTTCAAAAGAAAACCCTTAATTAGACTTTTCAAGTGGCCTCTATCCCCTTTTGTTTTTCTTTTCCTTCAATCCTTTAGGATTTGAAGAAATTAAATCCATAGCCCATATTTTTGTCCCTACTTAAAGCTTTTGATCTATCGTTACCATTCATATACACCATCTAACAATTATAATGCGTTGTGAGATTAAAACAATTAAGCAATTGGGTTGATAGACTCGTTCTTGTGCTTATGTCATGTTCTATTCTATAAATTTCAAAAATGGTGTTGTTAATGAGTGCTCTTGGACACTTGTTAAACATACTTGATAAGAAAATATTCAATTTCAAAACAATCGTTATACCATCACCAGGACAATCAATGCATTATGAATTACAAAATTTCCTTAATTTTGTTGTTTAACAAGTATTTCGGAAATATATTTTAACAAAACCCTTGACGACTGTACTTGTACTTCCACTTTTCTTCCCAGGTCACGATCAAATTGTAAATGAAGATAGTTTTTCAATATCTTAAAAAAAGAAAAAAAGGAGGTTCAAACTTCAAGCCATCAAAGTCTCGAAAGGTTGGCCAAAAGGACAAGTCCCAATGAAAAAGGCAAACAGTCATTACGATCGATGTTGTTTGCTCCCATTGAGCATTTTAATGTAGCTTGCTAGGCCAAGCATCCGAGGCACTGTCCCTTGGCAAAACAGGTTGAACTTCTCAATGCCTTCTACTCCATTTAGATTCAATAAACAATTGGAAAACATACGACCTCAATTTAAAAAGGAAAAACGTAAAATCCTTCCGTAACTTCCACCTTCTTATAGCCACAATATAGGGGGCTCCAATGCCTAACGAAGTCCACTGAAAAGTCAACTTCTTGCTTTCTGTGGAACAGAAAAAAGGGCAGCTGTAAAAAGGTTTTTCGTTTTGAAAGGTTCTACGCTCGTGATGATATTTTCATGGAAAAGTGTGAACTTTAGGACGCATCCTATGGGAACTCCCGAAATACTCTATAGAAGCATGACTTATTTATAAGCTATGTATCGCCCTAGTTCATTTAAGCTACGGAAGCAGCAATGCACGTGGCCAAAATAAATCAGTAAGGCACCAGTAATCTTATCATCTTTTATCAAAATTATTCACTAGCATACATGGGTGCTGACTGCTGGGGTCTCTTCTTGTATAACTTCTGCACATATAATCCATAGTTGTTGATGGAAGTGCCATCCAAAGACTAAGTGCCACCCATGTTCGTTAATGTTGGTCTTGATGTCATCATTTAATGCTCCGTTTCCGATCTAGTTGCGCTTCCGACCTAGCCCATGGCTCCATTAGGTCGAGTGATTGGAGCCTCAGGTTGCGATTGGAAATCAACCTTATCATTGTCATCTTGTCATTCGCGTGGAATGAATAGTAAGGGTCCGTCTAGGGCAGATTCAAAACTATTTATAACTTCTATGTACGGCATTTTCCTCCACATTTTTTGAAATTCAAAAAATTATAATATATTTCCAAGCAATTTGAAAGAGAATTAGATAAGTCTTTACGATATTTGTGATTGCCATAAGATTTATGCTTTATTATCTAAGCAAATCTCAAGAGCCCAGTACCTTTGTTGAGGTGTTAATGCCATATAAGAGGGAGTTCAATGAGATGTCATCTTGAGTTATTTACACATCTCTCGGGCCAGTAGAGAGAAAGCGAGTGCTGAAGAGATCAGCTGTACGATAAAATGCAAGTAGAAATATTGAATTTTCACTTCCTTTCATGGAAAGGTAGGTTCCTCCGTTTTGAAAGGGATAAGCTAGTGGAGGACCAAGCTTGTCCCCGCCCGGACTGGCATTTATCTTTCCCCATCTCTCCTAAACTTCCCTCAGTCTTAGGACCGAGCTACATGAGGCATAAACTCGTCTCGCTTACAATTCAAAGGCAAGTACCGATGAACATTTTATGTAAAATGCCTATGCATATCTCAAGTGAAGAATCAAACTCGCAACCTTTGCCAATACACTTTAGAATACGTGTAACCCGTGAATATGTCTCTGATATCAACGCTCTTTTCGGCCCTAATGTACCAAAACCATATGATCATCCTTATGGATCGGCATTGGAGTCCAACAAGAACCTAGATTCTGCCTACCTAAACGATCAACCCCTCCACTCCACTTGGTATCTTCCCTATAGCTACATAGCTCTTGATCTGCTTCCTCCAAATATAATTAAACAATATTAATCGTAGAAGCCCCAAAACACACGGCAACGCGTTATCAATATCTTAGCAACAAATCCCTTGCACGATCGTTGACGATTTTGAAAAGTTACCCCGACGACCACTTCCTTGACGGCCGGTCAATGGCCGCACGTATTTTTCCGTGCAGCTCTCGATCAAATTTTTAAGAAGGGAAGAAATAAAGAAAAAGAGCGAGAAGGATGGAAACAAGTAGAAAGGGCTAAAAGGAGTTGAAGACATCACATAAAACAAACGAGAACATGCAACGAGAAAAAGGTCGGGAGAGAGAAACACTCGTCGTCAGTTCAGACATGCACTGGGCCCCCACCCGCATACACTGGCCACTCACGGGCTCTCCTTGTCTCCCTCCATTATCTTTCTCAAAAATTATTTTTTCTCGTTATTATTGGACGGATCGGGTATGTGACCTCTGAATTTGCACGACCCTCTGAATTTCGTAGTCGAACGGCCGCCGGCCTTGCCTCGGCACGACCCGGATTGGACTGTGTGGCCCTTCCCAAATCAAAGGTCGGTGATGTGCTTTCAGTTGTTCCCGACGAATTGGCTAAAGCCCATGGCCGAGCTCATCGACGCGAACTTGGCGAGCTCTTGCGGCGAGAACGGAGGACCGCCCGCGCCTCCGCTCATCCCGAGAAAATCCCTCGTCGTGTTGAGCTCTAAGCTTTTCGTTGTGGTGGTTGTTGTCGACCTCGTCATCGACGGGCTCAAATTGGAAATGGAGTCGCTCAGATTATTCATCCCACCGACCGATGCGCCGAAACTCTCCTGCTGCTTACTTATCATGCTCTGGTTGATGAACTGAGATGACAGGTCGTTTCGGCTCTGGCCAAGGACGTTGAACGCGGTTGTGTTCGACGAGGACGACGAGTTCATCACGCCAAAACTCTCGTTGAAGAGTGACCCCGGGTTGCTCCGAGTGGACCCCATTTGGGCCGCCTTCTGTAGGAGTGCTGTGGCGGACATAAGGGCAGCTGAGGGTTTTGTCTGGGAATCGGAGTAAAGCGATGGCGGCGCCCCAAATAAGTTCCCTTTGTTGCTCCCAGCTTGATCTTTCAGTCCTTGCCGAAACGCCGATAGGGTCAAGTTGGTCTTTTCGAAAGCCGAGAATTGCTTGTTGCTTCCGAAGTTGGCCATGGGAGATGAGCCGAAGAGGTTATTACCGCTCGCATTTCCAATTTGCACCATCTCACTCAGACATGTGAGATTGGGATTACTCGATAAGATGTCGCTGGGGTTCAGCAGGGGATTCGCCGGGTTGATCCACTGAGACATTCTTGATTTCTGCTGAAGTGCAGTGAGAGAAACTCCGGCGATATCTTGAACTCCTCGGTTGTTACCGAACCCATGCGGTGGTAAGTTAGAGTGAGCACTGATGGTCGTCTCGTTTACGGTGTTGTTCGTGAAGCTCAGATTTGTGGATGAAACTGAAGAGAATCTTGCACTCTCTTCGGCTAAGGCGTCACAGAAAGCCCTGTGGGTGATGAAACTGTCTTTCCTGATGCGCATAAAAAGGGAAAAGGAAAAAAAAACATGAGACAATCAAACAAGACAAAGGCATATATTAATGACCTAATCATGCATACATCTTCAAGGCATTCAATTCATGCCTCATACCCATGAATAGTTATTACAAACTTCCTTCCCCATAAAGAAATATACCAAGTTTTTCTATAAGGCGTAAAAACATGACCAAGAATCGAAATCATCTCCTGTGAAATTTTCTCGATTCATCGTGCATATATCTTTGAATTGGTACCTGGAAAAGAGGGTTCCACAATCGCACTTGTACTCTCGAGTCCCGCAGGTCTTGGAGTGGGCCTTCCAATCTGACTGGACTGCATACTTCTTCGAGCACTTCTCACACTTCCACTTCTTCTCGCCATGCTTCCGGCTGAAGTGCTTCTTGATCCCGGTGAGGTCGCCAAGTGCCCTCGATGGGTCGTGGTGCACGCACGTCTTCTCAGGGCATATATACACCTTCTTCTTGACGACCTCCTTGTTGCTCCTCTGCCGGAGCTTCCACGGCAGGTTGTGGCCTCTCCGGTGGAGCTGCAGATTCTGGTCCCTTTGGAAGCCCTTGTTGCATATCTCGCAGACGAACCTGTTAGTCGCCATGAGCGTCTTTGGCGATAGTGCGATGACCTCTGCATCTGGATCTGTCGTATCCGTATCACATATGAATCAATTCAGTAAGGAAACAGCACGTACATACACGTGGTGAAAAGAAAACATTGAATGCTATGGAAACCAAAGTAGAGTTAAATTGAGATAAAAAGAAAACAAAAAAGAAAATAAAAATCATGGGTACTTTCAGCATGCATCAATTGAGGTGAAATTTTTGCTTGCCTGGTGTTCCTGGCAAATTTCTCTTCTTCTTGGCTCCATGGTTGGTGGCAGGTTTATTAGGGTTAGGGTTTGGGTTGTGAGCTTCATCGAAAACGCCTCCTAAGGTTGGTAGGCAAAAAGGATCACCAGACATCATTTGCATATTCTAATATCACCAAAACACAGCAAGATCTTTTGGCTCAGAGAGAGACACTGCAAAAACAAGCAGATAAAAAGTGTTTGGAAATATTCAAGAAACCCGCAAACTCTCTCAGCTCCTGCCAAAAGACAGGAAAAGCCCAAAACTTAAGCTTGGAGCTTAGCAACACCCCAAGGAAATATATAACTCTACTGATGTTGGAGTGATCTCCTGTTTGTTCACAGAGATCTGGGTGACCCTTGTTTGGTTTCAAAAGAGAGCAAAGACCCAAAAAAAATAGCTAGAAGGTGCAGAGGAAGAGAATAATTTTCTCTTTGTTTTGTAGCCACCGAGCTCCTTCTACAATCTCTTGGTCTTACCAGTTGTCTCTCTCTCTCTCTCTCTCTCTCTCTCTCTCTCTCTCTCAACTTCAGCCACAGTCTTGGTAGGGCCACCACCACACACAACACTATTTTGGCTGTCACTCTCTGAAGAGCTGTGAGCTGCCGTGTCTACTAGATATTCTAGAGTACCTGTGTCTCTAGTCTTTGGAGTGTCTCTCTAGTCTAGCTTTATATACAGTCCGGAGAGAGAAATGTTCTATTATTTATGATGTGGTTACCGGTCCATTAGATTTGAGATCAATACTATTAGGTGCATTTCGTAGGTTTTTTCTTTCACTCATCAAATATTGTATGATTGAATTACTATGACTGCCAATAGGACACTAATATCATAGGTGCGGGGTTCGACTCCCACCCTCCGCAAGAGTCGAGGCAAAAGTCAGAGAGTGACGAGAGTTAGAGATAAGACAGATAAAAAAAATTACTATGACTGATTTACAATTATACATGTGGCGCACACTTAAAGTGAATGGTTAGGAAAAAAAATTTCACTCATCCATTACATAAGTACCACCATATCATAATATTTCTAAGTCCATATTTAACGTATTGAACTACCCTATTTTGAGATCCACATCCTATCAATTGAAGATCACCATAAATATTTATTATCACATCGTCCAATAAGAGGAGTCGATTCTTTATTTGTTGGAAAAATTTATCAAGTAACATTGTTTGAGAGAGCAGTTATGACTCAATTAGATGGAGGGTATTTCGTCATGAGTTGACTACCAAGCACGTGGAGATGTACCACTGAAAACATGTTCCAATCAATCAAATAACCTCTTATCATGTTGTTTGACATTTCCTAAACAGTTCATTTTGCAACATCTACTCTTGAAAAGCAATGTAGAAAATAGTCTGTCTAATTGACCTTGGAAAAGTACAGCAACACTCGTGCTACTTCTGTGGAATCATTCCCATTAATGCAACATCGCTTTTAACATTCATCATCTCCACTACCCATAAATAGAAAGGCGATGAACATCAATAAGTTCGACGATGTAGCAGCATGTAATATTCGAAAGAACTAAGAACTTCCGCTGTAGATAGAAACTAGGAACAATCGAAAGTATGCAAAGAAAGGTGAAAAGTTGTTCCAATTTTTTAAGGCTTCTCTTCGTGAAAGGCGAAGCGATGGGATTGTTTTGAGATGTGGGAAGAGATGTTGGGGTTCGAAATCAAAAAGGTGATGGAAGAAAGTTGACTTGCTTTTGTGGCCCTTCGATCGGGGGCGTAAGGAGAATGATTGGGTCATTATGAGTAGAAATTGACCCCTTTTCGCAGCATACAAGGGCAAAGCAGGAGTTCATATGAGAAAATTCAAAAAGGGGTAATTGGCTGGAGCTTGCGCTGCCCGAGGCAAGTGATAGGACCGTCCGTGATACCTCCCCCTGTCTCACTCATCAGTGAAATTTGGAGGGGGTGGGGCCCGGCTTGGACAGTCGTTCCCCACCGTCCATCAACCTAAAATGGGTTTGGGGTGGTTGCAGAGAGAGACTGTTAGCCACATGATGATCAGAGTGATGCAGTCATCACCCGCTACTGACTTTTCATCGGCATGGTTTAGGTGTTTTTTTGGGATAATACTACAAAAAAAAATCCTAAATTATGTTATCTGTGGCACAAATTTCTCGAACTTTTTTTGTGTCACTAAAAATCATAAACTTGTTCATTGTAGTACAAATATCCCAAAATTTTTTTGTATCATAAAAAATCCCAATCTTATACAAGTGTGACAAATATACTATGGATGAAACTAAATTGATGGTACAAAAAAATGTTTGGAGTATTTATGTCAAAATTGGTATAATTTGAGATTTTTTTTGGCATTTACCCTTTTTTGGTGTGGCTATAGGTAATTAAGGTTAATGATGCAGATTCGGTTAAAACTAGTACAATGTTTTCCCTAGCTCCATCTGAGTGTGAACAATATCAACCCAAGACCTAAGTTCAATTGAACATATCGATCCAAAGGTTGGGATCCTCCCAATTTAGATGTACTTAACATTTTTTTATTTACGCTTTAAAGATCAAGCAACGTTACCATCACCCACCACCATGCGCTGCTGCCTGTCAATTCGCACGCCATTGCCATTGCCATCGCACGACATTGCCACCTTATCAACTCAAACCTGTGGTCTTCGTCTCAGGTTATCTCTGATCTAGAAGTGGTTGTTGTGACTACTCTGAGAGCAATAAGCATCGACAATGGTGCAAGGCTTGTTGACAAGGAGTGAGGCAACGGAGGTGAAGGCATGGGAGGGGAGAGAGCGGGGGAGAAAGTTACGATTTTTGGAACTTTTGTATAAGTTCTCATAAGTAGTGGGATCACTTTGGTAAATCAGGGCTAATAGTTTAACCGGAGAGGATCTCTATCCAACTGAAATTTTTTTTGGCATTGTCTAATTGAAATACATGTCGAGTTTGATCGTATTGAGAAAGAGACTATGGCCACTAGCTTGGATAAGATTATGAGATCAATGAAAGTACTTGAGTAGCATAATGAATGTATCATGAGTCAAAATCTAAGATGAAGATCTATATAATTGTCACGAGCAATGTTAGGCATACTTGATTGGCTTGAGGAAAACGGGAGGAAGTGAGAGGAAGCAATTACCTAGGGAATCATTTCCCTTGTTTGGGTTTCGAAAGTAAGCATTTTCCTTTTGTACCTCCTGTAAGAGGACCAATATTGTTTTGGTATTTTTTCCAGTTTTACCCTTCACTCTGATTTAAATTATGGGATAGGACAAAGGACCTTTTTGTCAATCACTGACTCCATTTCCTCCACACCATCTCTCCTCATATCCAAACAAGAAAAAGGAAATTAAGATCTCTTCGTTGACTCCATTTTCTTTCTTTTCTTTCCCCTTCATTATCATCTTAACAAAACTTGCCAACTAAATAATACGGCAATTCCTTGTTGCGTATTTAAATAAGTGAATTATTCAATTCACGAGCAACATCACTCTGTAAGTCAATTTTGATAAAATTTCTTAGTTCGTCTAGCATTTCCGTTGTCCGATGTACCTCTTTTCTTTTTCTTTTGGTTTTTTTGGTGCTAAGATCCGAATGATGTACTCACGATGGAGAGAATCTCGTGTAGAATGCGTTAAGAGAGGCATAGAAGGATACATGCAATCGCCTCTTTCACCAAAGAGCTACTATCATCCCGACTAAGACTAATATCACAAAAAACCCCAAAACTGGTACATTTGTGAAAAATTTACTATTCGTTAGTTTCCGTTAAATTTATCAAATTGCTGAGTTGGATGACACGTGGTAGTAATTGACAAGTGTACCAGTTTGGAGTTTTATCCCTCCGTTTGTCACAAGTTTACCAATTTGTGATTTTTCGTGGTATTAATCTAATTTAATAGAGAGTAAATTTGCTACAAGTGTATCCATTTGGGGTTTTTGGTTATCAAAAAATTAGTTTGATATAAATTTATCACAGTATACCAGCTTGAGATTTTTTGTGGTATTAACCATATCGACTAAGCATAACTATTAAACATGCAAAACACAATTAAGGTCATTGGTTTTTGAGACAGTTTAAGATCGTTTTACTAGCGTCCAATTATCTAAGACAGATCTATGTCAGTTGGTGACTCATCGTTTCCATGACTCTATTCTTGCAAGCTTAGCATAACTCCATTTCAACCCGATGAAAGCTAACAAGTCATCTAAAAGTGAACATTAATTAATGATGCTGGTGTGGTTGTATGAAGTAGGACATTTCATACTACATCTGTTGCACACCTCCTAAAGCTACCTAGTCCCATTATAATTTTGGCAACAAGCCCTCATGGCCCCAAGCTAGGTTGAGTGATCTATCACCACTCTACACATTGATCAGCATCTGTCATGCCAATTTTAGAGTATTTGTGTTAAAAATATGCCTTATGCATCTACATTGGTTGACTCGTTTCCGTGATAATTTAAGTTTTTTTGGAAAAAAAGTTGTCCCGTTTTATGACCAAAAAAAAAAAACCATCTTCAAGTTGATAAATTTCGAGCCCATGAAAAGCCAAAAAAACGGATTTTCTCTAACAATTTAAATGCATAAGTTGGTTGTGGTCATAAAGCTTTACTATGACTGGAGCAGCATTTCCTATGCTCGAGTCTCTTTTAAACCCTTCATTTGCCCTCCAAGTTTTAACTAAGTTCAACAGTTATCAATCAAGCTGATTTTTAACCTTTACATGCGGCCCTTGGATGGAGTTTATAGAATTAAAACAGTATACTATGTCTTTGGCTAATATTTTACCTATTAAGTTTGGTTTGTTTATTTCATGGAAATTTACTCAGGAATATGAGTCGATAGAAAAAAATTTCGTAGTCAATAAAAACTTATTCTTAAGTTCAGTAAAACTATTTTCACTTTTGAAAATCGGAACTCATTTTTCAAAATACAGTTGTATCATAATCCAAGTCCCCAAGATCGGGCTAGGGATCCCAGTGGCCGGGCCTAGGACCTTGATACTTGCACCTAGGTCCTTGAGGTGAAGCTCGAGACCCTAAAATCTATGCCTGGGACCTCAGCGGCCAGGGATCGACTAGGATCCTAGCGCTTGTGCTCGGGTCCCTGGAGGCCAGGACTAGGAACTCAAGGCCAGGCCCAAGTCCCCGGCAGATGTGCTGGGGACCTCGATACTAGTACTATGGTCGCCCACGGTCTGGCATGGGTCCCTAGTGCCCAAGTCCGAGACCTTGGTAACCGGTCCAAGGACCTTGCAAGTCGAGCCCGATCCCTATTGGTTAGGTCGGGGTCTCGTGACGTCGACACTGGGATCCTAGCGCTTGTGCCCGGGTCCCTAGCAATTGGGCCTACATTCTCGAGGCTTGGTCCAAGTCCCCAGCTGGCCATGCCTAAGACTCTAGTGCTCATGCCACGATCCCCCACGATCTAACTCGGATTCGCAATGCCAAGTTCGGGACCTGGACAACCGGGCTAGGGA